ATAAATATTATGAAACGAATGTACCAAACGTCTGCGTTAATAGCAGACGTTATAACCGATTCTTGAAGCTTGTAGTTTGTTGTAACTTGTAACTTGTAATTTGGAACTCCAATATTTGATAGCAAATATGAGAATTATATATATTATGATATATAATATGAAAACTTAGAATTGAAATATATGTATTATGATATAATATGAGACTTAAATGGAATAAAATATTGAGATTTGAGACTTAAGATTGAGACTTGAAAGAATATAAAAAATAGATGAGAGAATATATGATTTTGTAAGAAATAATAAGGGATAGAGGGGTATTTATAATATTAAAAGTGGGTTAAAGTGTATTTATAATAACTTGAGGATTTAAAGTAAATTATTAAAAGTAGGGGTGGTAGGGGGTGTTGGTAGGGGGAAAAACTGTCAAAAAATCAGTTGGGGGGGCCCACTAGCCGTTGCCCAACGGATAGAATTTAAAAAAAAATAAAAAAAATAAAAATTGTTAGGGGATCCCCCTAACTGTCCGGTTCATCCGGGCCGGGTCGACCGGGACCAACGGGTGAACCGGACCGGTACCGGTCCCCTAATCCCGAAGGCCCCATCCCGCAAGATTCAAATGGGACCTGGTCCGGCGAGCCGGTTCTCGGACCGGTCGCGGGCCGGGGCGGGCCAACCCGGTCCCCTGCCAGTCCTAGTCACCGACTCGTGAGCTTCTCGATTATTCATTCTCTCACTCTCTCGTGCTCTTTTTTGCTCCTAGCTTTTTCTCTCTGTAATCCTTTGTTTATATAATTGTTCCCTTACTCTCTGTTTCAGCTAATCCACGCTATTAAAATTGGAATTTTGAACATTATAATCGATCTCTCAAAGAATATCTAATCAGATTGTTCCTAATTTCTCCATTCGAATTGTTCTTGAACAACCTCCTCTCTCTTAAAAATAAATAGGAGAATATGTAGCACCGTTTGAGTATTTACTTAGTGTTTTTTATTTGATGGAAAGATATGATGGTTTATTATGAATAATATTAACTGGTTTAAGAAAGTAGAGAATACTGAGAAATCAGAAAGGTCGTCGTCATTAGGAGAGTACAAGCGAGCAATGTCATGGTCCAAGTACATATTATCATCATAAAGGGGGAAAGGTAGGATTAATGGAGTCGATATGTCGCAGCTTTATATAGGAAATAAGTTTGCTTCGGGAAGACATAGTAGAACTTTCAAGCACATGGAATTGACTACTAAACTCATCACAGTAAGCATGATTCCCGATTTTCTTTAAAAAAAATTGAAAATGATACTCTGAATTATAGAACTATAATGAAATTTACAATCAATCTTTATTTATCCAATTCAAAGATTGATGTTTGTTGTCCCAACCGTTCTTTTAGTCTCAATCCAACCATTTTTTTAGTCCCAATCCCGCTAAGCAAAGGGCTGACATAGAACTAAGTTTCTGTGTTGTTGGTTCTCTCCAAAGTATTACATTTTTGTAGATAGACTTTGGTAAATGAAAAGAATTGTGTTATCATTCCTTATGAAGGGACTTTTTCTTGTCAAGTATTGTAAGTTCATAATCTGATTGTAACATGTGATTATTTACCTGCCTTAATTGATTAAACTGTAGTAATATTTTTGTGGAATCATTATAGGTTAAGATTAAGTAACAACATCCTGAAGTGATTTATCACATTTTAGTTGGTTTGAAGTCAAAGAAGAAGAAAAAAAGGAACTCTAGAATGTGCTACGAACTGCAAATTTGTAATAACATGATGATACTAAGATTACTATCATTGAGTTGTGAAAATTATGATGTCTGGTCCAAAATTTAGGATTAGAAAAAGTAGTGTCTTTCATATATATTTATATTAACAACTCCATAATACTTAAATATATCTAATATTATTATTATAGACTTCATTTGCTGCAGTTGCCACAAGTATACTAAAATTAATTAAAGTAACTTTTCCTTCTTTCTCTGGTGAGGTTGCATAGTCTGTTGATGCTATCATCCAAATGCATAATCTCCTGCAAACCTGAAAAAGTAATTTAGGAAGTCATCAGTGGGGAACATCCCATATTAGTCAATCCTATGCTTTAAAAGTTGATGAATAGTTCTGTAGGACTTGATGCATCTTTTTTATCTCCTAAAGTAATCAAGAAGGCCACACGTACTCTCTTTATTCGCAAAGTTAAGAGTGCAACTACCTTTAGGGGATTATTGCTATATTAGCCCCCCCCCCCTCTGATTCTGCCTACCTTTACAGGGATTGCAAGTTTACAACAAGTTGCAACTATATACGTATTGGCTTTGATGAATTTACATATCATTTTTCCTTTCTAATGGCCACCTATCCCAGACCATACCATGTTTGAACATTAGCTATTCATTCAGAACGAATGATTAGTCATGCATTTGTGAAACCTGGTCTTGCATCTCATCTTTCTTGTTCCCGAAATCATTACAAGCCTAACTTCATCATTTGAACTGTGAAAGGGGTTATTTTCATGATCTTGACAAGCTAAGATATTGAATCTACATGAATAGGATAAGGTGGTGCGGTATTCTCCAGATAACAGTCTGATCCCACCCCTTCCTGTCTCTCTTCTGAATGATGATATCTTATATTGGTGATCATTCTGCTTCTTATCTTTGTAGAGAATCGCTCCCGCTTACTTGGTAGTGGCCAAAATAGAAATTTCCACTATATAGAAGAGGGAAGCAAGGGACGACCAAGGCCAAAATGGTAATTTTACACGAACAAAGGCAATAATCTCCACAACTCTAGAGCACATGAGCTCTAGAATCATCCGATGCTAGATATATAACCCACACCGCTCTAGAATCATTTGATGCAAGAAATTAACCCACGGTAAGTTCTTCCATCTCTCTTGTTGTTCCAACAACAATGAAACATATGGATTTCAAGTCTGCACAATTATTGAGATGCTTTATTTGCTAGAGTTGCATTTGCTTCAAAATCTTATCTGGAATGCTTCAAATGTTCTAAATTTAAAGATGAGCAAGTGCTCTAGGAACAACTTAAGAGAGCATGATTGGCACCCAGTTGGATCAAGCGACTTTGGATAACCTTCTCCTCCCCGTCACCGGTTGGATCAAGTTATTTATATGATGTGACTTCAGTTCTTAGGTTATTGAAATCATTCATCAGCAAAGAGGCGTGTTTTGTTCCCTTAACTCGAATAAGGAAAATTACAAGCTTAATAGATTTTGAGGTATGTTGTGTTCAGTTAACTCGAATGAGGAAAATTACAAGCTTGATAGATTTGAACATAACCGAAGTAGCTCCTCATCCATGTCTAAAACCTTCCAAGTGCCTTGCCCTGGTCAGATCGCTCCCGAGTCTGCTAGGGACTCGTATGATGCAATATACTATGCCAAGGTTATGTATCTTGAGGTATGCCTTTTCGATTCTCCCTAAGAGGCCTTCAATTTATTACTTGTTTCTTTGCATTTTGATGCTTAATACATACACAGAAGTTCACTACAAGTTCATGTTCAAGAATATGGTAAAATATTTAGGCATTGTTCCAAAATTTAGCTGATTGGTTAAACATTGATCATTGATGACATATTGCAGGTCGGTCGAAGGTTATCTGAAGTCAAAAAGATGAAAGTATGTAGTGGGCTGAGCTACGAGAAGCTGTCATTTGAGGCTTGTAATAAAAATTTCCCTTCAAAATCTCCTGGACAAGCTCTCATCACTTAGCAAGTGAAGCTCTAAAGCTTGCTTCAAGAAACCAATCAAGTCAGCTCGATTCTCCCTTTAGTTTTGTGGAAACAGAAAATTCAGGAAACAAAGATCAGCAGATCGTGTTATACGCAGGAAAGCTGGATCTTTCAATTGAGAATGAGAAGCTCAAAGAACATTTACAAGGTATGCAATGGAGAGTGCTAGAATTGGAAAAAGTTTGTAGGAAAATACAAAATCAAATGGCAAAGATCTTGAAATCAAGAGTATCAAGCCATAACTATGCCAGATCATTACCTCGACTATGTTCTTGAATGATATTATGAAATCCAATCATTTTAACTTACTTTATTAATATTATTTTTTGAATTTTTGTCTCAATGTAAAAAAAATTAGTGCTTTGTTTAAATAGCAAAAAGTACTACTGCTACTACTTCTACCCCAGCACTTGACTTTTTTGAGGTGCTAATAGAAGAATGCTTGGAGGTAATCAGTTGTGTTTTGCAGAATATAAAGTTTTGGTTGTATATAACAAGAAAGGAACAGTTATAGGTTTGGAAAAGGAATTAAGTACAATTGAAAAGCTGAATTATTATTTGTGGGAAAAAAAGTCTGATTATTCCATGAGATTGTCCAAAGAAAAATGATAAGGTAAATCACTTTTCATATCATTCCCATATTGAAAGTTGCTATAGAGGATTTTTTTTTTTACCTTATAGAAAATCTAATTCTCTAAGATAAATATGTCTCTTTAGTGCTGGCTTTCATTCATTAACATAAAAGTAACAAGATTACGGACCAAAATTTTCATTTTTGTATCATTTGACATTGACAAATGGTGTTGAATCATGGCAATAGTGTAACATTTTTATTCACATTTTGTTAGATCTTTCATTGTAAGAATAGTGTTATCGAGCATATTGCATTTTTCCTCTATCCAATAACTCCAATTCTTAATTACTACGGGAGTTTGATGGTGCGGGAATTGATATACTTTGCTAATAAATTAAGTGGATTTAATTATTTGTAATTTGCAGAGCATAAAATTCAAAATTCAGTCTCTACATTCAGTAGTATTTTCTGCAAATATAGTATTGACCTGCTTTATATTAGAGTGACTTTTCAAAGCATAAAAAATATAACCACTTCAAAGTTAAATGTTGGGCCCATGATATCACGGGCCATACTCATCTAGTATATATATATATATATATATATATATATATCCACTGTTAAACAAATGACTAATTCGTATATATGTAAGTGATTCATATATATTCACACTCATTTCTTCATCGATCTTGTCTATTATTAGTAGTGTTGTTGCTTTGTCTTTCTAGGAATTTAGAGAGAAGGGAGAGCAATAATATATTACTCTCTCTCAGAGATTACAACAATTCATTTGACTAAAAAAATGAAGATACATCTACAAAACTGTGGCGATGCGATAAACACTGGTTTTAAACGAAATATTAAATCAATCATCACTCTTGAAACAATCCTACTATATTGACATTAACTGAGATTCATCCTTATGACCATGAAACTTTATAGGATGATCAATAGACTATTTCAGGTTCCTTCTCAAGGCTTCTTTGGCGGTATGATACTCGAAAATAATAGGTATAAGTCTTAACCAACAAAAAAGATTTGTGGAAGCTCAAATCCCGTATCCTAAACACCAACAGACTACTCCCTTCACCGAGAAATTGGAGTTATAATCCAACAAAATATTCATGAAACTGTCAAGACCATTTTCGTCCACCTCCTCCCCTCTCCAAAAAGCAGCGCCATACTTGAAGAGTTCAAACTCCATTGCGTCCGCCAAAGAGCTTCATGCTCATCTCATCAGAACTCAAAAACACTCTGACCCTTTTGTTATTTCAGACGTTATTAGATTCTACTCTCTCTTTCCGACGTCTCTACACAAAGCCCTTGTTGCTTTTAATCAAACTGAACGACCAACATTGCCAATTTGGAATTACATGATTCGTGGGTTGTCTAAGAGTCATCGACCCATTGAAGCACTCCACATGTATGACAGAATGCGTCAACAAGGATTCCCTGGAAATAACCTCACTTTCATTTTCATCTTTAAGGCTTGTTTACAGCTTTCAGATATTGTACTTGGACGTGCAGTTCATGTTAATGTTCTGAAACTTGGGTATCAGTCCTACTTGTATGTGTGTAATGCTTTGATTTATATGTATGGTTCTTGTGGTGATTTAGTTGGTGCTGGAAAGGTGTTTGATCAAATGTCTGAGAGAGACTTAGTATCATGGAACTCATTGATTTGTGGGTATAGTCAATGTAATAGATATCATGAAGTATTGGGTCTTTTTGCTTCTATGCAGGCAGAAAATGTGAAGGCGGACGCAGTGACTTTGGTGAAAGTACTACTAGCTTGTAGCTATTTAGGGGATTTTGACACTGCGGATTTTGTGGTGAAGTATATAGGGGATAGTTGTGTGAGAATTGATGTATACTTGGGAAATACATTGATTGATATGTATGGTAGACGTGGATTAGTTATCTTAGCTGAAGAAGTTTTTGCTAAGATGGAGGAGAAAAATGTGGTTTCATGGAATGCCATGATAATGGGGAATGCTAAAGCAGGGGATTTAACGGCTGCAAGGGAACTTTTTGATAAGATGCCCAACAGAGATGTGATTTCTTGGACTTCTATGATCACAGGATATTGCCAAGCTAATCGATCTTCAGACGCTATTGCACTTTTCCAAGAGATGATGGCAATTAAGGTTAAGCCTGATGAAGTCACAGTCGCTAGTGTGCTTTCTGCTTGTGCACGTTTAGGTACATTTGATGTGGGTAAGGCAGTACATGATTATGTTTGTCAGCATGACATTAAAATGGATATTTACGTGGGGAATGCACTGGTGGATATGTACTGCAAATGTGGATCTGTTAATACAGCCTTGGAAGTGTTTTTGAGCATGAGCAAAAAGGATACTGTTTCTTGGACTTCGATAATCTCTGGCCTTGCAGTGAATGGATTTCATGATAATGCTATTCAGCTCTTCTCGCAGATGTTAAGAGAAGGTTGTAAGCCAACTCATGGTACTTTTATTGGCGTACTACTTGCTTGTGCTCATGCAGGTTTGGTGGACAAGGGTTTGGAATACTTCGAGAGTATGGAAAAACATCACGGATTGGTGCCAGAAAAGAAGCATTATGGATGTATTGTTGATTTGTTTTGCCGATCTGGTAATTTAAATAGAGCATTTGAGTTTATAAATCTTATGCCTATGGCGGCAGATGTGGTTTTGTGGAGAATGTTGCTTAGTGCTTGTAAACTCCACGGTAATCTGGTTCTGGCTGAAATTGCTGCACACAAACTTCTTCAATTAGATCCTGATAATGGTGGTAATTATGTTCTGTCATCAAGCACTTACGCCACTGCAGAGAGGTGGGACGATGCGATGAAAATAAGGAAATTGATGGATGAGGGTGCAGTACAGAGGCCACTAGGCTGGAGTTCAATTGAAGTAGATGCGATTGTCTAGCATTCAATGAACCACGTCTTGGAAATGTAAAGTACCTGAAACAAAGGTTTCTTTCACATGGTACTATTTGCATAGATTATCACGAGATCCAGCATACCGGTTACGTGAAACTGAAGTGAATATCACGTGAGCAAGACTTAGCTGCCCTTTTGGATAAAGAAAAACTTAATATGAGTTGCCAACTTACGCATGAGTTAGGTTTGCTCATCTTCAGCACTATAAAGATGAAGGTTCCAATACATATACAGGTTGCTGTTTGACAACTAAAGAACTTATTAAGTTTCATCGTGAAGTACAAAATTATATTTATGATCTCAGCTACCTTGGGGCATAGATGGTTGTTGTAACTAGTACGTGTCATATTTGGTGTATACTGCAAATATGATACCAGTCTTCTGCTCTTTGTATTTTTAAATCTCAAGTTACTATTGCCTCTGTGCCGCATCTAACATTTTAAAATTGGAATGATGGTCGGAGGCTTAGAGCATACTGCTTAGAAGACTCTGAATGTAGCTATAGCAGCAGAATCGCAAGGTATGAAGCTGCAAAGATCTTGTTGATTCCTTCATTACTTTTTCAGTTATACTGTAGTCTGTATATTTCTGCATCACATTCTGTATGAATGATCAATAGCTTTGCATTATTCATGTAATCATATGCATATTATCCTTTCTGCAGCATTCAAGTTTTATTTTGGAGGGGGGTAGGAATATTCATTCTCACAAACATCTGATACCAATTTTGAGTTTAGGCACACTGCCAGAAATTTCTATTCAGCTACAGGTTGAACATGACCTTGATGGCATTTCCGCCGCGAGAACTGGTCTCAAATGCTTCATCCACACCCTCTTGAGTAAAGTTATACCTGTGGGTTATGAGAGGCTTCACATCTATTTCCCCAGTTCTCAGAAGTTCAATGCAGAGCGGCCATGTATTTCGGTATCTGAAAATGCCTATGACATCCACCTCCCTATGACAAAAAGAAACTCTGATTGAAAGTTTCTCCTTCGAGTGGTGTTTCAGGAAAGAAATTTAACTCAAAGAAGTCCAAGTACCTTGCAGCAGCTGAAGTAAGAGGGAGAGTCATCTCACTCTGGCCTAATCCAACGAGGCATACTTTACCACCAGTGCGGGTGGCTTGTAGAGCCGTTGTCATAGTCTTGTTAAAACCAACACAATCAAAGCTCAAATCCACTGGACCACCCATTGCATTACGTATTCGCACCACTTCCTCCTCCACATCCTACAACATGAATATTGCTTGAGATATACCATGTTTTGCCATCAAAAGAAAACAGATTACCAGGGTATGATACGAATAACTGCTGATGAGGAGTAAAAAAGAAGGGAGAACCTGCATAATGGAAGAAACTTTAATGATCTCATCAGCACCCAGGTCTTTCGCGAAAGATAAACGACAATCATCCACATCAACGATGACTATCTTGGGTGATCCAAAAGCACGAGCTGCCAGCATAGTGACCAGGCCAATAGGTCCCGCACCTATGATGATTAGTTTGGTGTCAGGACCTACATTGGCACGGCGGCAAGCATGGACACCAACACTCAAAGGTTCACATATTGCACCTTCCTCCAAGCTTACATTATCAGGTAACTTAAAACATAGATCTGCAGGATGCACCACCTGATGCAGAGACAAATTCCACACTTGTTATTTAAAATGACTTTGCTCTATGCAAGTTCAATAGCTCTTGTTGGTTCAAACACCCAGATTGCTCTGAGCAAATTCTCATCTTTTTCTAGTTTGAGAAAAGATGGAGTAGAGATATTACCTGGTTGGCTAAAGCACCATTTGTTGGAGGAGAGCCAAAGAACTTCATTTTACGGCAGAGATTGTAGCGACCGTCTTTGCATAGTTGACACTGCCTGCAACTAATACCAGGTTCCAAA